TGTGCATAAGTTAACGAGTAATCTTCTAAGTGTTATACCATTTTGGAATCCTTCTTAAATGCGCCAACTTTTAAGGTTACTTGCCAAACTCTCGTAGTACATTTTTTCCAGTACAGCCAGTTAAAGTTGAGCAAAGTTTTACTTTGGAATACTTGGTTGGGAAATAAGTGGCAATTTTCCTGAACGAGAAAAGTTGGCAGTAAAGTTGAGACACCAGTTTGAAGATGCATTATCATCATTATATTGTGAAAATAAAATCCAAAAAAAGTTAATATTTGTAGTAACAGGAGTTGACAGACTGCCGTAGGGTGTGAAATTTCTATATATTTTTGAAAGACCTATAATTTTCAAAACACATACATAAAATTTTTTTAAATATTTTTTGATAGCTGTTATGACTTTGCCTATCACCCGGTTTCGGCTTGACGTCGACTTCTGGGACACTCTGTATATGTTCAGTGTCCCTTACTGATAAAATGTTGATGGCAAAACAAATCGATATGATAAAAATTCTTGAATTCTAATAAACATACGTAGGTGTTTACGTTTTTTGTTACTGAGTATATGTACACTGTAGAGGGTGATCAACTAAGAATGCGATGTACTGTAGCTGGGAAACTATCCATCGCAGAGGTTTGCGACAAAAACAGCTGTTACTAAAATGGCCAAGAGGAAAGCCTGGAAAATACTTTCAAGTTTCTGGAATGGCTGCTAGGGGGCGTAACGGCAATCTTGAATCTAAAAAAGTGATGTTTCTGTGAATTCCGCTATAACCTAACAATAAAATACCTGATCTTTAAACCAGGATGCAGTGATTTTTTTTTGTTTGACAATTTTTGCTGTATCGCTAAAAATAATGTGGTGAGAGGTATTCAAAGGTGTCCGTAAAAAACACCCTGTATCTTCTAAACGGCTGAGCCGATTTTAACAAACTTGAAAAGTGCTATTCTTGGGATACAAATGTTATATTATTTGAAGTTTAGTTAGTTTCACATATGGCCACTAGAGGGCTTTTTCTACATTCCGACAAAAACTGTTAATTTTCTCATGAAAACTAAATGCATTGGTATGTTTTTTTTATGAAAAATCAGCTAAATGATGATCATAAAAACCGCATCTCGATATCTTGTTCCTAACCTAAAATTTACTCCAAAGAAAATTTTATTCGGAAATCCTTAAAATTTATAACGGGTGATTTTTTTTGCTAGTATCTTTTTGGCAACACTGTTTTTGACAGATGACGCGTGAATCGTGTCTTGGGTCATTGTCAAACTTGTTCAGTTTGGTCTATAATTTAAACCATGAATCGACTTACGAACGAACAACGCTTGCAAATTATTGAATTTTTCTATCAAAATTCATGCTCGGTTAAGAGAGTACATCGAGCACTGCTTCCAATTTATGGGCAATTTGGTCGGCCTACTGAGGGAGCTATTCGGAAGCTCGTGACTAAATTTCGAACCCAGTTTACATTATTGGACATTAAACCGCCAAAACGTAGACGTAGAGTGAGGAGTGAAGAAAATATTGCGGCTGTATCCGCCAGTGTTAGTGATGAAAATCACCCGTTATTTCTTAAATCGTATTTCTCTGGAATTCCTGTTTATTATTAAAAAAATAACCATTCCTGTCTAACTAACTAACGTTTGAATGCCTTCCACCATTTTATTTTTAGAGATACAGCAAAATTGTTAAACAAAAAAAGTTCACCATTTCCCCGACTTTAAAGATCAGGTATTTTTTTGTTAGGTTAATATACTTTTCAAGATTGCAGGTACGCCCCCTAGCGGCAATTTCAGAAACTTGACAATATTTTCCAGGGTTTCATCTTGGACCGTTTATGTAAGAACTTTTTTTGCCGCAAGGATACGGTACTCCGCATTCTCATTTGGCCACCCTGTACATCTCGAATAAGTTTAGCATTGATCATTGTAATGAAATACTTTTTTGATGCCTTTTTGATAACAATATGTCTATTCTAATTAGGTCTTAGTGGGAATATTATGCTTGACCTTACATTTCCTGAGAGACTGCAGATTGGAGATTGAAAGCTACCACGCCACAGCAAATTTCTTGAATCACATTACCACCGTTCTGGCATTTGTTATTACAATCTTAAATCTTTTAATTTCCTGTTTTGATCCCACAATTGCTAAATACGCCGTCTTTGACGCTCCGGATGTTACAGCGCTTGATTCGATTCGAAAATAACAAAAAACGATTTGTTTCTAATTTAGATTAATACAACGAGGTATATTTACAAATTTGGAAAATGTTTTTAATTTCAGTTCCTGGTCGCGATCTTATTCGTAATTATAGGAGGCTTGAACATAAAGAGAACAAAAGACCACAGGATGGCGATAATTTTGAACGATATTATCCTGCTTATGATTTTTTTGATTTCCATTATCAATATAATGATATCAGGGTTTGGCTTGGATTATGCTAGTCAACCCCTGAGGCTCTTGGACTCATCCGATTCAGTCGTAACTTCCAAACCAGTTAGCATACAAGAGAACGACTAACGGAAACAGAACATGTATAAAAACTGTAAATAACAAAACTTATAATTTTACTACAACTCAGGAAGAATATGAAACATTTATTTTAATTTCTTCTCGTGATAAGCTTAAGTCACTGTGAACTTACGATGTACAATATGTCGCCACAAATACTATACAGGGCGGTCCGTAATAAACGCGCCAAAGAACAATCGTGGATCAAGCTCATTAAAATAACAATATTGAGCTAAATATGCGTTAGTAAAATGACGGTTTTTAATCAGTGAAATATCAAAGTTGAGCATCGGATGTCTATAAGGTTGAACGTCATCCATTTTCTTAAGGAAAAGAAGTGGAAAACATGCGACCAAGAAACTTTTGTCAGATTGACAGAGCTAGAGATGTTGCAGAGGCAAATATACAGGGTGTCCCAACGAAAAAGGTCGCCATTTGTGACTCTCCTGGAACATTTTGGAAAGAAGCTCAGACAAGTCAATTTTGATTTCTAGCGGGACGTCTTTTCATCTCTAGGGTGACCCAAACATAACATATTGCGTTACACTTTAGATAATAACCACAACAAAATACGGGTCTGACTATCTGGAGTTCACCGATCCCTCGGAATTAATTGTGCCCTGTGCCGATATGGGGAATATTGAAATATGTATTACTACAGTATATTCAGATAAGAGATAGACCGGATGTAAACAAAAGGTTCGGATGATTTTCACGCTAACGCCGCCGTCTCGACGTAAAACAGGAGCCCTCATTGGTCAATTCGCAATTAAATGCCTATGCCGAGCGGCAGAGCAGTCGTATCAAGGCAGAGTCACATTCAGGTTCAGACGTGTTACGTAGGTCGTGTGCATCATTGCAATTTGATATTTCTTTGGACGTTTTCGTTTGTTATCTTATTAAGTTGTTGAGTTTGTCGTTGTTATTGTTATACCTTGTTATTGATTGTTATTGTTATCAACTGCTTGCGCAAAATGCCCAGTAGTACAGATACTGCCGATGAAGTTGTAAACTCCTGTAGTCCACCTAGGAAACGCTCTAAAAAAAGACACCTGAGTGCAGAAATGAAAGAGGTCATTTTGAATATATATAAGATCGAGCGCGAGGAGAATGAGGCATCAACCATCAAAGAAATTGTTGTGAAGGTTTCTCACAAAGTTGGGGTGTGTCGCGCATCAGTGTTTAATGTGTTAAGACAATACAAAAAAACTCACACCTTTTCTGAGCCAATGACCAGTAAACATCGCAAAAGTATTGTTAAATCATTGGATGAAGCTGATAAGCATGCGATTAGGAGGAAAGTGCATGAATTCTTCTTTAGGAATGAAATACCTACTATAGATAAAGTACTGCAGGAGGTAAATGGAGATACAACGTTGCCAAATTTCAAACGATCAACTTTCCATGCGTTACTGAAGCATTTAAATATTTCAAAATGGAAAAAACGGGGGTCGTAACAGTGGCGGCTCGTGAGTAGTGCCACGGTGCATGGCACTCCTTTGTCTTCTTCAAAAAGAATATTTTTTCAATCTTCAATGTTTTACTTATTTTCTGCTTTTTTCATTTTTTTTTTGGTATAAATTATATGAAGTGACAACAATGACAACGTGACCAACACCGCAAGCACCCGAACCACGCGAGACGGAAAGCACGCCTTGACCTTGACGTCATCACACTTGTGCCAATTTTGGGCCGGCCCAAATAAAAAGAGAGAAAATTTACTAGCATCGCATACGAGCGACAGAGATAAACGCTACCCTACACATTTTTATATGAGGTGAATAGCGAAAGACAAGTATAATTTGTGCCAGGCACATCATCAGTCGTAATTCGTTATCAAGTGATATCGGCGGTGTTTTTGTTCGGTCGGTCGTTCGTTATGATTACGTCTAGTGCTGATTTCGGTCTTTTTTACCTGAAAAGGTGAAAAATACCTTTTTTGTTTTAGTACGTCTAGTGTTAATGAACTGCTCTGTTTTGTGATCATATTTTTTACTGTTTATTAAAACTAGTGAAAATGAATAAAATCGGGATATTAAAAAACTCATTTAGTGGTTTTTCGCTGGATCAAAAACTGCAAATTAAAGAATTAGGACGGCCAATACCCGATTTAAAAATTGAGAAACAAAGTGGTAGCGGACAAAAATCGCGCTGTCGCAAATTTAATAAAAATGTGTACGATAAAAACAGCTGGATATGTGGTTTTGAAGAAACGAATAAACTATTTTGTTTTGTATGTGTTCTATTTGGAGGTGACGAGACTTGGTCAAAAAAAGGTACAGACGATCTTATACATATATGGGATAAAATGAAGACCCACGAAAAATCTAAAGTCCATATGAATAATGTTTTTAGCTTTTCTATTCTTGGTAAATTAAATATAAGGACTCAACTCAATTCGGCTTATCGCAATGATCTAATTAAACATAATAATCAAGTGGATAAGAATCGATATGTATTGAATAAAATTATTAATTGTATAAGGTTTTGTGGAGCATTTGAGTTAGCCTTAAGGGGTCACGATGAAAAGGAAAATTCGGAAAACAGAGGCATATTTAAGGAGCTGGTGAATTTTAGCGCCGAATTAGACAACGAATTGAAAGTCCATATTCAAAGTGCCAAACTTTTCAAGGGTACCTCAAAAACAACTCAAAACGAGCTTCTTGAGTGCATGCTAGATGTTTATCATGAAGAAGTTAAGAAATTCTCCTTTTGTTGCAGTAATTGCCGATGAAACGACTGACGTAGCCTGTGAATTTCAGTTAGTTATTATTTTCAGATATTTGTGTAAAGGACAACCAGTTGAGAGATTTTGGAGATTTTACGTCCCGACGGACACGATGCCAAATCAATCGCTGCATGCGTTTTAAATGTTGTAAATCCATTACTAGATCAAATCCAAACAAATTAATAGCTCAAAGCTATGATGGTGCGTCTGTTATGAGTGGTGAATTGAATGGCGTTCAAAAAATTATTAAGGAAACTTATCCACTTGCAAATTATGTTCATTGCTATGCACACCAGTTAAATCTAATTATGACAAGCGCATGCTCTGTCAATAAGCAGGCTAGAATATTTTTCCATAATTTATCTGGATTGTGCTCTTTTTTTCGACGTCTCCTCAAAGAACAAAAATTTTGGATGAAATAGTTAATTGCAGATTGCCAAGATCTTCCCAAAACGTTGGAATTTTCAGTCACGAGGTGTTCATACAGTTTATGAAAATAGGAAAGACCTGATTGAAATTATGGACAATATAGAAAGTACTTCACGCGATTCTTCGTCGATTAATCAAGCCAGTGGGTACAAATTAAAGCTGCAAGATACAAATTTTGTATTTTGACTAAGTATATTCCATAAAATAATGCCACATGTTGAAATTGTCTTTAACCAATTACAAAAAGTATGCACCGATTCTGTTAAGGTCAAAAATGATTTAGAGAATTTTGAAGCAGCAATCAAATATACGAGAACAAATGGATAGCATATGACGAGATTGAACGAGTGCATAGAGAAACCTGATGAACCGGCAAGAAAAAAAAGGCAAGTTGAAGAAGGCAGCAAAAAATCGGGAATCGTTAGAATAGGAAATATGCGATGCAGTATTATCGCAAATAAGAACAAGATTTTAACTTTCTGGACATTAGTTTGCTTCTAATGTATTGTTGTCTGAAAAGTTTTCTGTTTATAACATCAGTTTTCCTGAAGCACATTAAATGACACATGCACACAATTTCATTTTTAGACAAAACAGGCTTAAAAACTGAGTAACAAGTTTATATCAGAGAGAAGCATTGAGTACTACTTCGGACTGTGCCACTATCCATTTATGACGAGGAAGGATTAAATTGTACGTTTCAAGAAACTCTTAAGCTCTTAAGTATTTTAATCACTATACCGATGTCAACATCTGAAGCAGAACGCTCTTTTTCAATGCTGAAACGGATTAAAACTTTCCTCAGAAACACAATGAAGGAAGAAAGGCTTAGTGCTTTAGGAATGCTGTCTGCAGAAAAACATTTTGTTAGTGGCATTGAAAATTTTAATAATAAGGTAATCGAAAACTTTGCTACCAAAAAAGAAAGAAGAATGGACTTCATGTATAGAAAACTTTGAAGTTATAGGTACTTCTCCACACTTGTTTTATAATTTGGTGCGCGTGTGTAAATAGTTTTATTTTTGATTTTTTTTTGGACATATAGATTTATTGAACCTCAAGAACTTTGACCACTAACTATCAGGGGTAAGTTATAAGTTATTCTTTACAATTTTGAATCGATTCAAAATTATGGCTTCCATTCTGGCACTACCTCACTGAATTGGCACGAGCCGCCACTGGGTCGTAATAGTTTACTACTGAATAGAGAAGAAATTGTGCTATGGAGGAGGGATTATTTAACAAAAATTGGGAAATATAGAAATCAAAACAGGAAGATTTATTACCCTGATGAAACGTGGGTAAACGCAGGACACACTACAAGTAAAGTATGGGTTGATGATTCTGTAACTTCATCCAGGAGGGCCTTTCTAGATGGACTGTCCACCGGATTAAAAAATCCAGCAGGTAAATACGAGTAATAGACAACAATCGGATGTTTTTCAAACCTTGGGAACAAGGTTCTAAACATTAATTCCAGGGGGCAGATAAAACATATTACAAGTAACAAAACTTTTATAACTTTCGATAAAATGCGTGGATGTTTTATTGTCATTTTCATTTGTTAGAACTTTTTGAGGCCATTTTTTATGTGTTTTCGATATTTCAATAATTTTTTAATATAATCTTAAAATATGTCGAATATTATAAACTTAAAAAAAGTTACTAAGTTTTATATTGTGTACCGTTCCTAATATTTCTAATCATTTTAATTCATACTTTAAGCTTTATAAAGTTATAATTTGTTAATATTAATATTTGCGCGTATTTCAGGTT